GGTCAAGTATCAGTTGGTTGAGTACCATGCTTTACCAGCCTACTTGAGGGATAACGAATTCATTCTTGGTCATTACCGCGCTGATTGGCCATTGAAGCAGACACTGCTCAGCATCTTCTCCATACACAATGAGACTCTTAATGTTTGGACGTAAGCCTTTTCTGGGAGTCTGTTTTTTCATAACATTGAAGAAGATATGCAATGAATTTGAGCTGTTGTTCACTTGAATACTGTGTGTTTCAGGCATTTGATTGGATTTTTCCTCTTTCTCTCCTTGACCATATATACTGCAACAAAGATTCCTGACGTTGTTGACATTCATCCTCTTCAACATTTGCCTGAGGTGTTGAAGAATGCTGATCTCCACAAATTGCAAGCAGAACTCTTGACGTGCCTTCCTTCCTTGCCTCATCTACCTGATCTGCAGTTATTAAGGGAGGAGTTAAAGACTGCATTCCCTTCCATGGATATGCTTTCATCACTGTGTAGCTGGCGTGTTGTGGAGCTTCTATACAATTGTTTACCGGAGCGATTCTCACTCAGAAATCAAACGAATGACTATGTTCTGGTAACCTCTATGTTTGGTACAATCATTGTTAATGATTTGCTTGCAAGTTCTCAGACTTTGCAATACTGCAACTAGATTTGTTCTGCTATGAACTAATAACGATTTGCTCTGTTGTTTTTTTTTTTTTTTTTTGGTTTAATCCAGAGTAGCGTGAAGGAGGAAGTTGCCAACATGATTGCACCAGTAGCTATGAGACCAATTACTCGGTGGCCTTTCTTCGCATTCTTGGGTGGAGCCATGTTTTGCCTGCTTGCTAGCAGCTCATGCCACCTTCTTTCCTGCCACTCCGAGCGTCTCTCATACATAATGCTAAGGCTGGACTATGCCGGAATTGCAGCCCTTATATCTACCTCCTTCTACCCTCCCGTTTACTACACCTTCATGTGCTATCCCTTCTTTTGCAGTCTCTATATGGGGTTCATTACCCTGGTGGGAATTGCAACCATCTTAGTATCTTTGCTGCCAATGTTTCAATCCCCCGAGTATCGCACTTTTCGGGCATCCCTTTTCCTTGGCATGGGCTTGTGTGGGATCGCCCCTATTCTGCACAAACTTATCCTGTTCTGGGGCTTGCCCGAAGCACTCCACACAACAGGGTATGAGATACTGATGGGCATATTTTATGGGGTTGGAGCACTCGTTTATGCAGCAAGGATTCCGGAGCGATGGATGCCTGGAAAATTCGACATTGCTGGCCACAGCCACCAACTATTCCACGTCTTAGTAGTCGCTGGGGCATATACTCATTATCGTGCAGGACTGATTTACCTCAAATGGCGTGACCTGCAAGGTTGTTAGAATAGAATTTCAACAAAGATTTAGCCTGTTGAAATGTAGTTGATTATTTTCAAAATGTATCCATGTAATATTTAGCCGGACTAGGATACTGCCACCACTGTAAGGTCAGAACTAGCTTGAGAAAATATGAGAACCCTCACGCTCGGCCTTATCATGAAATCATAAAAATACATATTTGATGCAGTCGAGGCTTACGTATATAATAATTCAAATCAATAAAATTTTATTTTTATTTTTTACTTTTAGCCCCAAACATTGTCCGAATACAAGAAATGCATAATTATATTGCCATATACGGCTCTGGGTGTGTTTAAATCGTGATCTTTTTCCTTTCCGGCCAGCGTTCTGTCAGAAACGGCTCAGCCCACCCTTTTGAGGAACGTTATTGATTTCCCTCGAATCTCTATTGATTTGCCAACAAATCTTATCATTCTACTTTCCCGAAATGCCATTTGACAATTAAAATAATGGGCGAATAAATTCTAACGCATAAACGCTTACAAATGAAGTTTCAAGTTTCTCCATGGCTTTACAGAGCAGAATTCGTTGGTTGTCCTGTAATGTCTTTCTCCTTCTTGGCGGAGCATTTCTGCTTTTCCTCTTTAATTCTAGCCTCTCCTCTACTTCTATATTTAAGCTTCCAACATATGTGTTTACGGCCGGAGATCGATTCGTCGACGAGATTGACACGCCGGATCAAACCTTCTACGACGACCCGAAACTCAGTTACTCGATCGAGAGACGAATAAAGAATTGGGACCATAAACGGAAAGCATGGCTCAATCACCACCGCCGTCTCGCCGCTGGAGCAGACGAGAGGATATTGATGGTGACCGGATCACAGCCGGCGATGTGCAAGAACCCAATCGGCGATCACCTTCTTCTGAGACTTCTGAAGAACAAGATGGACTACTGCCGAATCCACGGCTACGATATTTTCTACAACAACGCATACTTACAGCCTCAAATGGACTCGTTTTGGGCCAAGCTCCCAATCATCCGGGCCACAATGATGGCCCATCCAGAAGTGGAGTGGATCTGGTGGATGGACTCGGACGCAGTGTTCACAGATATGGAGTTCAAGATTCCAATCGAGCGATACAAGAATCACAACCTGGTGGTTCACGGTTGGCCCAGTATGGTCTACGAGAAAGGAGATAATAAAAGCTGGACGGGCCTGAATGCTGGAGTATTCCTGATTAGAAATTGTCAATGGTCCATGGACTTAATGGACTCATGGGCCAAAATGGGCCCCCAATCTCCTGATTACAAAAAATGGGGCCCAATTCTAACGACGACGTTTAAGGACAAGCCATTTCCGCTTCCGGACGATCAGTCGGCTCTGATTTATTTGATTTCGATGGAAGGAAGGAAATGGGCGGACAAGGTTTATTTAGAAGGGGAGTATTATTTGGAGTCGTACTGGATTGGTATGGTAGGGTGGTATGATAACATCACCGCCCAGTACACGGAGATGGAGAAACGCGAGCCTGGTTTGAGGAGGAGACACGCGGAGAGAGTGAGCCGGTTCTATGCGGGTCTCAGAGAACCGGTTATTAAGAAAGCCGGACTTAGAAATGGGGCCGGTCGGAGACCGTTCGTAACGCATTTCACGGGTTGTCAGCCGTGTAGTGGAAATCATAATCCCATGTATGATGGAGACACGTGTTGGCAGGAGATGGGAAGGGCTTTGAATTTCGCTGATAATCAGGTGCTTCGCACGTATGGTTTCTTGCACCAGGATTTGGATTCGTCGGCTGTTTATTCTCTACCGTTCGATTATCCTCATACTAATATCATTCACCAATGAGAGACTTCTTCTACCTTTAACGTTGTTTAAAATGTTTTGCTTAGGCGAATATTTCGAGGATATTAACATTGGTTACCATATGTATGTGTCAACTCTTCCTTAAATAGCTACTTTTGTTTTTTTGTTTTTTTTTTTTAATATTTTAATTATAATTTTGCTTTTGCTTTTGCTTTTATTTTGAGAAATGCGTCGGCGTTGGGTCGTTAGGGCATCCAGCACAAGCATGGTCGGCTGCTTTTTTCAGACAGACAATTGTACATTTACATATGGTGCGTATTTAATTTTTTTGTTTGGTGCCCTAAAAAGATTGGAAATTTCTTTTTATATTATTGGGCTGTTCAACTCTACCCCTCTTATTATCAGATATTTTATTCCTCCACATTATTGGAATGTTACAAAACTGTAACATGTAACAGTTCCATCCCTTAAAGTTTTATAAAAATATTCAAGAAATTTGTTATTAAAGTGTTATTAGGTAAATTTGGACAAAATTATAAATATTATTTGCTACTGTCAATGTCTATCATTAGTAGATATTGTCTTATTTGGCATTTTCTTATGGACTTTTTCAAGGTTTTAAAACAAACATGCTAGAGACAGGTTTTCATGCTTCATTATCCTCTCCAACCAAGGTATGATCTCACATTATTGGACAAAAAGTCTAGCTCAAATTGTGTTGGTCAAGTCGACTCAAATTAAGTTGAAGTGGGTCGAGTCAACATATGTAGATGTACGTCTTGTACTCCCATGACCCATTGAAGCTTAGACGATGTCCAGTGCAAATTTTTTCTAGACCAATTCAAATGAATGTAAATGAAACTCGGCTAATCTTTGTATAAATAAATTATGAAAATATTATTAAACGATGTTTAAACTAGGAATCGGAATTCTCCACAATGATATAATATTATCCACTTTGAGCATAAACTCTCGTGACTTTACTTTGAGCATCCTTAAAAAGTCTCGTACCAATGAAAATGTATTTCTTTACTTACAAAACCCTAAAAAAGCCTCGTATTGTGTATATACAATTCTTCTTATTTCATAGTCACGATTTTATCTTCACACTATATATATATATATATATATATATAACTCGAACATCAACTATATTTAAATTCTATATAAATTTGTAATTCCAAAATCTAAATTTGGTCTCCACGAGAAAGAAACAAAATTTGTTTGTCTCTTCCAAGACAACGATTAGCTTTTAATTTTCTTGGGTAGGCATGATTCACTATTTGCCTTCTAAAATTCCCTTCCCATAATTTTATATTAAAAAACTTTTATACTATAGTGGCAGCTCAACTAATTGACCCCAAAGTATGATTAATATTTATAAATCCCTATCTTCCACGCTTTCAAGCTTATATATTTTGCAAAATTACATTTTTATGAACCAAATTTGCTAAACCCATTTCAACTCATTCAATTAATAATTAAATTATATATCGTCTTAAAAGTACATTAAAAAAAAAAACTATTTAATCTTTTTGGATTTGTTTTATCCTTATTTATATACCATAAATTGAAAATATTTAAATAATTAGTCAAATTTAAAAAATAAAATAGTATTTGCAATAAAGTAGAAATCTGTGAAAAAAACGTGACAAGGACAGGACAGCAATAGTAAAAAGTTAAGTCACATATTACACATGGCAGCGTGTAGTCGGTTGGTTTTGAAACGGAGTCCGTCGAAGATTTTTCCGTCTTCCCAAATGCAAGCGGGAAATCCGGTCCTTTATGTCCAAATTTTTGGAAGAATTTGAGATATATAAATATAAACCCCGTTAGGGTATAAACAGAGCCCAATGGACACGTAGCCAAACACGTAGGGCGCCACCTCTGACGCTCTTCTCACGCACTTCATTTCCTCGCTGCTGTTCCTAATTTCAGCCTTTCCTGCAATTTCCACCGTTTCTAAACCGACGCTTTCCTCTTCCACAAACTTACGGTTCTTCACTCTCTGCTCTCTCACTCACTCACATGTTCCCTTCTTTAATTCCCTAACCCAACCACTTTTAAAGCGCCATGGTTGCCCCCGACTTTTCCAAGTCTCAGACCTCTTCTTCTCCCATGGCTAAACCCACTCTCCGCCATAAGGCCTCTGCCTGTCTCGCCGATGGGTTTCTCTTCCTTGGCGGCGCATTGGTTGCTCTGCTTCTCGTCTGGACCCTTTGGTCCTTCATTACCCCTTCTATTAACCCCTCTGATTTTGACTCCATTAACGCCCAATTGAACCCTCCTTCAGATGTTTCGTCTTCACAGAGTTGCCATACGGGTCCTTCTCTGGCCTACGACCCGCCGGATGTTACCTTCTATGATGATCCCAAATTAAGCTACTCCATCCAGAAGCCGATGAAGAATTGGGATGAGAAGCGCCGACAGTGGCTGAAGCGGCATCCCTCCTTTGCTTCCGGTGCTGGGGAGAGAGTGCTTCTTTTAACGGCGTCGCAGCCGGCGCCGTGCCGAAACCCCATCGGCGACCACTTGCTTCTGAGATTCTTTAAGAATAAAGTCGATTACTGTCGAATCCATGGCTATGATATCTTCTACAACAACGCGTTGCTACAGCCGGAAATGTTCGCGTATTGGGCGAAGCTGCCGGTGGTTCGAGCGGCGATGATAGCTCACCCAGAGGCCGAGTGGATCTGGTGGGTTGACTCGGATGCGATGTTCACCGACATGGAATTCAAGCTCCCACTCGAACGTTACAAAAACCACAACCTTATCGTCCATGGTTGGGCTCACTTGATTTATGATCGGAAAAGCTGGACAGGGCTCAACGCCGGCGTGTTTCTCATCAGAAACTGTCAGTGGTCCATGGACTTTATGGACGTGTGGGCCAGCATGGGCCCACAAACGCCCAATTACGAGAAGTGGGGACAGATTCTGAAATCAACGATCCCGGACAAGCTGTTCCCGGAGTCAGACGATCAGACGGGCCTAGTTTATTTACTGTACAAAGAGAAAGAGAAATGGGCGGACAAGATTTACTTAGAAGCGGAATACTATTTCGAAGGGTACTGGGAGGAGATCGTGAAGACATTTGATAACATAACCGGGAAGTACACGGAGATGGAGAAAGGAGCAGGGGAGCTCCGGCGGCGACACGCGGAGAAGGTAAGCGAGCAATACGGTGCGTTTAGGGAGAAGTATTTGAAAGATGCTGGAAACGGGAAAGGGAGTTGGAGAAGGCCTTTTATCACACACTTCACAGGGTGTCAACCTTGCAGTGGGGATCATAATCAGATGTATTCTGGTGGATCTTGTTGGGATGGGATGCGTAAAGCTTTGAATTTCGCGGATAATCAAGTGCTTAGAAAGTATGGTTTCGTGCATCCGGATGCACTGGATCCCTCCGTCTCTGAAGTTCCTTATGATTACCCTGCCTAGATTGTCGTGTAAACACAAAAGACAAAGGTATGGATATTACCGTTCTTAAAGTAATACAGACTTGTCGTGATCTCTTAACAGTGTGTTCATATTTTGGAGATGGGCAGTGGGTTTGAGTCAAATTTGGAGTTTCTTTTATCTTTATCTGCCAAATTAGAGCTATGATTAGTTGGGTTTTGAATAATTTGAATCAAATTAGAAAGGGATTTGCAGATTATTGGAAAAGGAATGGGACAAAAGGGATAACAAATTTGGTTGTTTATGCTAAATTAAATTGGTTAATCAAAGAGTAATTTAAAGGGGAGACATGATTTTAGTTTGATTTGCTTTCCCAGGGATTATGGCGATGCTTTTGAAAAGTGGGTCACTATGGTATTTGATTTTAATACTCCGCATAAACTTATGGCATGATTGAAGGATAATTTCCTCTTTTTTCTTTTTCTTTTGCTAAAAAAAAAAAAAAAAAGATAGAAAGATAAGATTTTTCTACCATTTACCCAACTTTTGTCTAATTGAAGCATCATATTGTCGGGTGGTGCATGCGAGATTATCTTTCTTTCTTTCTTTTTGGAATTAAAATTGTTAATACTATTATTCCATCAGCTTAATTTCGAAGAGTACCGACACGTTTGCGATATGTCATAAGATATAAGCCACAACGACCTAAGAAACAGGAAATACATATTTATATGACAACAAAATATGAAGAGTAAGAATAAATAAGTAATACAATGAATGTTATCTCGAAGTAACCTTAGCCATATGTCACATTGACATGTCTCATTCCTCACTTTATCAAGAACTTCTGACAGTTTTTTTTTTCTTTTTTAAATTAAAGATTGGATTTGATAGGAAGTTTGTTTTAAAAAGACATTAAAACATAGGATATGATAGGGATAGATGATTGAATTGTTTTATTAGAGGTATGTGGGAATGAGCTTAATTTTAGCTCTCTCTATGTGAGCCCCATGCTACAATCATTGATTTGAAATTGAATCCAATTGTATTTGAATTTGAATTTCTAGAAATAAGGCATTAATTAATAAATAAAGTTTAGGTATCACAATTATGGTTCTATAATGAGCAAGCCTAGTACCACTGTTAACATCAATGAATTAAATAATTATGATATAAAATGTTGCACAATGAGAATGACAATACTAATGCCTTCGAATTAAATAATATGTATGTATAAGGAGAGAGAGGATATAGTATCGGCATGCAATAATTCAATATCAATTTTTAGTGTGTCGGTTACTATAATGCTTCAAAGATCTAAATATATTATTGTTGTAAAATATAAATGCATGGGGAGACATAAATGCTGTGGCCCTCATAGTGGAAGCCAACCGTCGTATAAATTGGGTATAAATGCAAGTAATTCGACTGGGTGAATGTACCTGAATGCTTGATCTCGTGAACTCTTCTTCTGAGAAATAATATCAATCACGAGGTACAACAAGACAAGAAATATCTATAAGAATCTAAACAGTCTCAATGATACAGAAAACAATAGCAGTAAGCATCAAGCATGAAAATTAGATATACATCTTACACTGATGAAGAAAGATAGCCGCTGAATAATCAACCAGGTAATATAGCCTCCAAAATTCTTCTACAGAAATGTCAAGGGTTCATAGCATTAGAATCATCTTCTTCGTCATCTCCCAATTCGTTGAACATGTATTGATTTTGGTACTCCATCAGGTACTGAGTTGATCTCTTGACATCTAAGAACAGATGGTAGACACGATTTATGTCCTCCATCTCCACAACCTTCCCTTTTCGTTTCTGACATGCCAGAGCAGCTGCTGTGATTAAATGGATGGCATATCTTAGTGATGTTTCTACGCCAATTGTGGTCAGAAGTCTCTTTGCCTCTTCAGACATTTCCACATCTTCCTCTTGAGATCTAATATCTAGAATCTTTCGTATTTCATCCTCGGTATAAGGTTGAGTACAGATTATAAGTAGACGATCAAGAAGATCAATAGGAATCCCGTGAGGGGATTTGTAATTTGTTCCCCGAATTGTGGTAATCCCTCTGTTGGTAGCAACTACAAGGATTGGAGCCATCTCATTCTCCAATGCACGATTAAGGAAAGAGAAGCACTCAATATCAAGTATATGAACCTCATCAATAAAGAGGACACCTGGAACTATCTCGGCCTTGCCTTCTTCCTTCCACTCAGCCACTTTGGTATCTATTTGTTCCCTTACTTCAGCTCGAATTTCTCCAGTATCACCGGTGAATAGAGCTAAAAAACCTTGTGTTCTGGAGATAAGGACAGTAAAATGAGAACATAAATCCCAGAAAAACCCAAAGGCAAATAATGAACTTATAACATAGCCAAGTTACATCATGGACAAGAAAGAATAGATGTGATAACCAACTTAAAGTCGGGAGTAGAGAAGACATTATGCTTGAGTGGAGAAAAGCAGTCACAAACAAATTGCCCAAAACTATGTCTTACACAACGTAGGTACGTAATTCAATTCCTCCGATCCTCAAAAGCACAAAGGGAGAAAAGAAAGATCAATGGCTTGAAACATACAATATACGCATGTAACCGAGGGTAGAGACCATGGCATATTATACGATATAGTAATCTGGTCGAACACTAGGACATGTGAAACAGAGCTCATTCATTGAATCCCTCAAAGCTCCTTGAAATAACTAAAGTTGAGGAAGAGAAAAATAACAGGACAAACTACATTTTGACTAGTAGTAGTGAAGGGAAAATTAACAAGAATAGGTCGGTGTCACCTAAGCTCACTAAGCTAGATGTGCTTACAAAAGTTGGTCTGGGACTAAGGAAGGTAGCTTTTGGGGAAACAAAAACCAGAGACACCCCAACATTGGTGTATTATAGACATTTCATGATAAGCAAGTTACAGACGCATCGAAATATTCTTATGTGAACTTGACAAGTGAAAGCAGAATCAAATTTGCATCAATTACAAAAAAGAATGTAAGATGCAGAAGCTGAATCACCGTATATAAAGTTCAAAACTTCGTTAGTTTAGTTTTCCCCCTTTTGGAGAAGAAAAAATCCATACAATAAAACCAAACCACTACGCAAAACATCCAGCTACAATATATTAGTGTGGTTTTGGTCATATAGCTGAAAAATAATGCATTGCTGTTACCACCCCGTTGCATAGTTCGCAATAGCAATTCAGCAAACGAGAACTTCATGAACCATCAAAGGGAATTCGATATCACAATCCCGATTCTCAATTACTTCTAACTCTAAACAAACTAAACCTTTCAAAATATTTCAATCCTACCATCATAAGTGCCAATAATTTGCAGACATCAATCATTATACGAGAAGGACGATTTCAAGACCCATAATTCGATAAAGTGGTTTGAATTTTTAAGGGAATGTAGAATAACCTGCTATTGATAACATCTATCTCATGGAGCGTGACACAATGCACAACCTCCTTCCGCTTTTGCAACTCGCCATCGGGGCACTGCACAAACTTTGTCTGAGGACCCATTGCATCGTAATCCCTGGACCTAGAGAAGGACCTCCCTAGCTTAGTAATTTTTCCGGATGCCTTATCGATCGCAATAACATCGCCGCTCTGCACCTTTTCCTTTCCCAATGCTTCAATCATCTTCGCCCCCAAATCATATACAGTCTCCATGTCCGTCGTTTTCAGAGTAAGCTTCCCGGCTTTCGACGCTGCCCCGGCAACCGCTGGCCTGTCTATTTGAACCTCAACGACCTCTCCTTCAATTATTTCGGTTTCTTCCTTTATTCGGACGCCAATAGCTTTACGAAAGGCCTGCATCAAGGCTTCAGTTTTGGACATTTCCAAAGAAAAGAGCTCACTGCCAGCAATCATTGCGAAAGGAGTTTCAAGGCCAAGGGACTTAGCCATGCCCATTGCAATTGCAGTCTTGCCAGTGCCTGGCTGACCAGCGAGGAGAACAGCCCGACCGGCAATTTTTCCTTCTTTGATCATCTGAAGAATGACACCTGCGGACTTACGAGCGGCGGTTTGGCCAACCATTCCCTCCGAAACGGCCCGTGGTTCAAGGGAGGAATCAAGGCCAAGGCCGCGGATGTGGGAGTGAGCCCCAATGCGCTCGATTCGCGTTAGATCTCGGCTCTCCGTAAGCTTCAGCTCTGCCATGGTAAGAGAGGATGCTGGTAATTTGCTTGGATTGCAGAAGGAAGCGGGAACAGAGCGCTAGGGTTAGGGTTCAGGGTTTTGCAAGCTCAGAGAAACCTTTCCCAATTGACGCTTGGAGGGTAATCATGTCAAAGGAGCCTACAAATTGAGTCAATGTATCATTGGGTACAAATTATATTATTTCTTAAATTATAAGTTTAATACAAATAATTTGTTTAATATATTTCTAAAAATTTAATTTTGATCAAATAATTTTATATTTAATAAACTTTTAATAACTTCCAATAAATTATAAAAAAAAATATAAAGTTTACAATTTATATTTATTATTTCGAAATCTTAGGGACGATGTGAACATAAATTTTAAATTTAGTTATAAACTTTGAATATTTTAATAATCTTTGATTTATGAGGGTAGAAGTAAATATAAATATTCATATTAAATTCTCCTTCTATTTCTCTATATATTTTATTCGACGTTTAATCTTTGAAATAATTTTAAAACAAAATATGAATATTTTAGAAGCTTCGACCAATGACATTTTGGGTGTGTATACATCCATATCAAATATGAAATCTATATAGTTGAAATTTGATTTATAGAAATAGTCAATTTAAAATTTTCTTTTTAAGAACTCGAACTAATTTAGACTTTGATTTATGGAAATAGTCAATTTTAGTGAATTTTAATGAATTTAATTTTCAAAAGTTGGGATAATATATATATATATATATATATATAATTTGTACTAAAACATTAATTGCAATTAGATATAAAAGTAATAATATTTTTCCAAATGAAGAAAACTTAATTGCAGCTTTTCTTGGGGTTGCTTATTTTCCAATTCATGAAAAATATTAAATTATTATAAATAGATCTTATTTTTACTATATAATTAATTTTTATTTTAAATGAATATTACATGTTCGTTTAAGAGGAGAACAAACCACTATTTATAAAGGTGCGCTGGTAGGCGAGTTTTAAAGCTTGAGGGAAGCGAAAGGGAAAACAAAAGAGAACAATATCTTTGCTAGCGGTGGATCTAAGTCCTCACATGCATTTAATATTTGTCAAATTCCTTTTATTTCTTAAAATTTAATAAATTTTTAATAGAAATACAAAAAATACCATATTTATAATTCTAACACGAATTAAATGGACCAAGAATTTCACTCTGTTTGGGCTTAATTTTCAATTCAATTTTACACCCGCCTTCTTCTATGAACAGCGTAGCTTCTGCTTCTGGGATACGCATAAGTATTCCCCGCCTTGAAATCCTCTTCAAATTCATAAGATTTCTCCTCATCGATTCTCCCAATCCCCACGCTCCGACTCCTCGGCACGATTCTCGGTTCCGCCATCGGTGATTTCCTCGCCACTTGGATTTCCAAATCAGGTTCCACCTTCTTCTCCAAGCTTCGTGTCGAGGCCGCCCTCAGAAGCTCACCGTAGTCGTCGCCACCGCCGCGGCTGGAGGCAGTGGACCCCACGCTGTAGCTCTTAGGCAGATGAATCGGCACCTGACCGACTGGCCCGCTCAGCGCCATCACGTAATCGAGATGGTTGGAACAGTCCGTCAGATTCCCGATGTAAAAATCTCGGACTTTTGACAGAAGCCGGGCGGAGGCTTTTACAAATTGCCTCAACTTGTTTCCTCCCCTAGTCTTCTTCGTTTCACCGCCGTTTTTTAGCTCCATAATTGTTACTTTTTGGCACTCGCCGCCGTAGGCGTCTGAGAATCTGATCGGAAAACGGGTTTGGAATTTGAGAATGGTGGCAGTGTTGGGTTTACGTGTATATATAGATACATGATAACCAATGCATCCTTTTATTTAATTAATATACATCGCTGTAATCTAATTAAACTAATTGTATGATTTTTTATTTTTAATCTCAATCTTACTCTGACTTTGTATACCATTGAAAATAAACCCCGATCAAATTAAATTTTAATTGAAGTTATATGTGGACAAAAATGGTATAATCCAAAACTCTAATTCTTTAACAAAAATAAATTCCAAAACAGAGCCTTGTACGGTAAAGCCTTTGTTTCTTTATCTATTTATTATTATTATTATTTTAAATATTTATTTTTTAGTATAAGATGCATGCAAGTATTATTGGAACTCATTTCTTCTAATTTGTTTTATTTGAAATTGGAGTTGTTCTATGAAGAATATATGATACCGACAATATCTTATCTTATATATAATAAATTTAATTTTGATGATAAATTCAAAATGAACAAGTCATAATATTTGACGTTTTAATTATATTAAGGAATTAGATTTATTAATTTATCCGTATTTAATAGGTCAACTAATTAAACAACAATAAAAATGCCCCTTAAACAAGCAATGAAGTTTGACCACTGATAAAGATGGGTTGAAACGGTGGGTAAAATTAAATAATTTTTGAAGGGATAAGTACAATAACGTTGGTGGATAAATAAATTAATGACCTCACACTAATTATTTAAAAAGGGGGGAAAAAGTTAAATTAAATCTTTAAAAAATCCCTTCGCCATCAACATGAATCACTTGAAGCCCAAACAGAGTGGGCCTTATGTGGTGAGATTACAGACGGCCCAATTAGTCTTTAATGGGCTTTTGGTGGGAACAAGAAGGGGATCGGTAATCTGGAGCACCCTTGTTTCCAACAGGCCCAAAAGTCCCACGGCCCACACTTTCAAGCATGTATATTAAAGTTTATATTATTTTATTTATGTAGACATGATATTGATATATTATTAAATAACGCCCCATCTTATCCATCTTCTGTCCCATGCCCATTGACTTGGAATAAGAGACTTTAAAAGGTTTCGATAGCAGGATTGGTCAAAAGAAGAAATTGGAAAATAAAATAAAATATAAATATAAATAAATAACCACACTCAACTTTGAATACTCTAGTTTTATTTCAATAATTAAAATTTTAATATGTATTTAAAATACAAATTTGTTGGAGAATACATGAAGAAATAAGAAGTAGAGAATTCAATCCCGTTTCTATGAGAGTCAAAGCTCCAAAATCCAATTTTACAAGGAAAAAATAAGAGGGGAAAAAAAAAAAAAAAAGAAAAAAAAGAAAAGAAAGAAGCCATTTGTGATTGTTAGGAAGCTGTGTCGGCAAGGGACAAAAGAGAGGCGGCTGACCGGTCTGGTTTGTTCCATGCGTTAAAGCCTTCTCCAGCAGAACCTTCGCAGCAACGCCTTCCACACGCACTATTACTTAATTTTAAAATTCGTGTTCATTGAATTTTGCTCAATCATTGTGTAAACTCACTTGATCAATACGCTATCGCAGGGGGCGACCCTCAATTATCCAATAAAAATAACAATAATTTGAAGTCAAACTAATGCCTTCTACCATCCTAACATCTTATATCAAATTTAAGGTGATGTTAAAATGATAAAAATTTAAAATCTTCGTACAAAATTTATCACTGTACTAATTCAACTAATATCAAATTTAGTGTCATCATAAACATATAAAGGCAGAAATGTTGTCTTTTTTCTAGTTTAAAAACTACATAATCAGTTTAGAATCGATACAATTTTTAAATCAACATGCAATCGATTTATTATCCTAATACAAACCCAAACTTGAATCAAGCTGATTTGTACAATAATTATCACCTCGTGTGTTTTAATCCACACAGATTTGGTTGAAGTAACATATAAAGCCTAAATTGTGGGAGTGTGGTTTTGGTTGAAGTAATTGGAGCCCATACCCCTTATGATGGATGAGAATCAGACAAAAGCAAGATATTTGAATGTTGACTTTGTTTTCTTACTCAAACGCCCCCGTTTTTGGGCTGTTTCAAAATCTCTATATAAATGGCAGCTTTTCAGGTTCCTCTGTTCAGTAGGCTACTTGGATTTTAATAAACTCATCTGTTATCTTGCTAATACTTGCCCAATTGATATGGAGGCATTTTGTGCTTATGCTTCTTCTTCTTCTTCGTCTTCCTCGACCTTCTTGTCTCAGAAAAATGGGCAATCGGAGTACGTGAGGAGAGAAGTTTCAAGCTATTCCAACGATCTTCTCTGTGTTCGAAAGCCAATATCGAAACCCTGGAAGAAGCCGGCGATTGCGCCGCTGCCACCGACTCGCCCCAGGGTCTACAAAGTCGACTCACTTAAATTCAAAGATTTGGTTCAGAAACTCACCGGCTTGCCTGAGCTCCCATCTCCACGCCTCCAAAAAATGGCTCCGCCGCCTCTTCATATTGCCCCCCGCCAAGGTTCCGGCGCCGCCGTGGAAGCCACCCCATTTCTTCATCCGTCGCCGGTGAAGCTGGATGAGGCGTTCGACGGTGGCAGCTTTCTTGAGCTGAATTTGTCGCCCTTCAACAAAAATTGGTTCTCTTTCCCTGCTTTGAGCCCCGGAAGCCTTGCCATTTTCGATGCAATTTAGATCTACGGATTATAATTCTTAGATTCTGTTTCAAATAATATAGAAAATTAAAGACCGACCGTGCTTGGTTATGTAATAAAAATAACAGACATGCGGAGATCATGGGTACCTTCCGCAGGTTGTCTCTAGTAACTTTAATTAATTGATTTATATATTCAAGTTAATATGATTTACTCAAAATTTATTATTTATTATTTAGAAAGATATTAATTTATGTTAAAACATAGGAAAAGAATAACAGCGTATTATTGTTACAAGAACAGAATTTAAAAGAGAAAACAAGAAGTATTTAATTTAAGGAAGGAAAAAACAGAAAACAAAAAATAAACATTTTTTAATTGGGTGTATGATTGGTTTGGGTTGGAAAGAGAGGCCCTGAAACGGTAATGGGCAACGTGGGCCATGTGCAGGCCCAGGCAGTGGTTTAACGACGTCGTTGATGGACAATGGCCAACTGGCTTGGTTTCGATGGAAGAAGAAACTGAACACCGAGAAGTCATCTTCTATTGAGGAAGCTCCTTCAGTTCCCACTTTCCAAGCTTCGATCGTCTACAGCTTCTGCATTTGGATAAACAATGTCGTGGTTGGCAAGATCCATTGCGAATTCGTTGAAGCTTGATGATGATGATGGAGATGACGTGAATGCCGGTGGCAACCCCAAATCACCGTTCAACTCCGATTCCATATCTGATCAATACCACCAGACAGATTCTCCCTCTCGATCATCGTCGTCGTCTTCTTCTTCTTCTTCTTCGACTCCTACTGCTAGAGGCGTCAAAGAGGATTTGTCCGAGCTGAAAAATACCCTAACCCGCAATTTCTGGGGTGTCGCCTCTTTCCTCGCCCCTACGCCGGAACATTCTGCTTCACATTCTCAAGTCTCTGATCCGAAACCTAATGAACTGCTTGATAAATCAGCAACCGACAATCCATCTAGTCCTAAATTGTCTGAAGAAGATCTAATTGCTGGGATTCGCAATGATTTCGCGGAAATTAGCGGGAAGTTTAGGACTGGGATCTCGAAGCTGTCGAACACCAAGACTGTATCGGAGATCTCCAAGATTGCTTCCAATTTCCTTCAGTTTGGATCAGATGAATCTTTGGAGAATTATGATGTGGGAAGTGCGGTTGGTGTAACAGAGGAGGTCCTGATATTCGTGAGGAATATCGTCCTGCATCCCGAGACCTGGTTGGACTTTCCTCTTCCTTATGACGACGATTCTGACGGTAGCTTTCGTTTTCTATCTGATAGTTTCTTCGTTGCTCAATTGAATGTTTCTTTTTTCTGGATAGAAATCTTCGATTCGTAGCATGGTATTTTGTCAAAATATTCAGTGAGTTTATCTAAAATTTGAGTGAAATATTACGGACGTGCTTCTGGCCGAATATCTTGAGCTTCTCTTATTCATTTTACAGCAATAATACTTCTTGTTAACCTTATTAGTTGCCTCACTCTTTCATGTCTAGATAGATTTATCAGCAGACTGACATTAATTTTAGACTAACATATTTTCATATTTGGTTACTCGTAAATAGATCTGGAGTTATCTGATGCCCAGCAAGAACATGCTTTAGCTGTTGAGCATCTTGTTCCAAGATTGGCTGCTTTGAGGATTGAATTTTGTCCTCAATACATGAGCGAAGATTGCTTTTGGATGATCTACTTTGTACTCTTGCATCCTAGACTTAGCAAGCACGATGCTGAACTTCTGTCAACACCCCAAGTAAGTTCGGACCTTATACTATTCCTGTGTATGCCACTCAACGGGTGGATTCTTTCATTTAAGGGTTCAAAATTTTGGATGCTTATTGTGTAGATAAACAAAACTTTTGTAGTTTTAGTATAACAAATGTGCAAATTTATTTATGCGCATGTATGAAAAGTGAGTTTTCATTGAGAAAAATGAAAAAATGAGAGGGAGAAACAAAAAGGGGAAAGCCTTAGACAATAGGAGTCAGAAAACAACTACTACCTAGTTAGTACGTGATGGGAAGGGGAAGGAATATTTTGTATATGAGATCATTGGGTCCCTCTAGGTAATTCATTTGTTGCTTTGTAGTTTAAAGTAGGTGAGGTAGAGGAAAAAGACAATGTGTTTTGCAGTACCTCTATTTGGTGTTCTTCTGGAATAGCAAACTTCTCCCATCGAATATTTTATCAACGTCCTTGGTTATAGAAATCCGAAAGGAGAAATTGAGCCTCGGGGGACGAATTTTAGTTTAATATGGTAGATAGGGATGCTATCGGAAAACTTGAGTTCTAAGAGTATATATTTTTATATCTATGATGGAATGACTGTGGAGTATATGTATTCTTCTGCTCGGAGATCACCAGAGAAAATTGTAAAATGGAAAATCGCAGTTAGTGATGAGTGCATAATCATCCTAAAGTAGAAATCTGTATGAGATAAAATGAAAACCAAAAAACTCTTTGACCTACTATTTTCTTAGACCTATCTATTCAGATAGGGTTGTTGGAGGGGGACTTTGTGGAAGCATGAATACTCTAAATTGGGCAGTGTCCTTTTTAACTATGTTATAAATAAATCGTGCTCTAGATGCTTGATTTACAGGGTCCTTTTTTTCTAATTGTTCTTTTAGCGTCGTGAACATGTTGGAGATTTGCATAGGATAAGTCATGGTCACATTTAAGTGAGAAAAGGAATTGTAGTTTTATTAAGTTTCGTTAAGTCTAAGAGCGTTCACAGTTTACATGAAGGAACTAAGTAAGAAATAAACAAAAACTAAACATGAAGTGTTACGGAACAGACATAAATTTCATTGGAAAAAACTCAATAACGTAGAGGCGAGAAGTGGATGTAATTGGTGTCGTTGTGGTTCACCTTTGGTGGTTGGGGTATTCCCTTCCTTTTGAATATTACATTTATCAATGGAATCTATTGTTTCCTCCTTAAAAAAGTCTTTATAGGATCCTTTTTTGCTTTAATTTCATTTTGTTGAAAATATTATAGATTTACCACCCCCCCACCACCCCCCAATTATTTATTATTATTTTTTGAAGAAAAATTCTTTAGCTTGGATTGAGAGAACATGTTTTTTAGTGCTTTCAGACCTCCCTTCCTTTGTTCTATCCTTTTTAGCCATCCTACTACGGACGACATCGAGCTTAATTTCATCTCGCTTACCCAAGAGGCGAGCTAGTAGGCTATTTTTGTTATCCCTTGGAACTTCCATGTAATGGCATGGGGCTCACGATGGCCCACTGCATGCCTTACCATCCTTCAAGATGAAACCCTGACGACACCTGATCCTGTACCTTACACATCTCCCTCAACTTCCCCTCGAGTTGAAAGCCAAAGATGACAGTCTTTGCATAGGAGTTTTGCCCTTCTCCAGCCGCCTCATAACCTCTAATGCTAGAACATTAGTCTCCTAATTCAGAGTTATCCTCAATTTTGCTATACCATTAAAATACCCTTTTCCCAGGCTCGATAATGCCAGATGATGTAATTGTTCTTTTAAAAGGAGACACGAGCCCATACTACTGGTTTGTTGCTCACTCTACTTTCTGGGTTTTAGTGAAGTGAACACATGTAGCAGGTAAGAGATGTTCCTTTAGGATAAATTCTCTTCCTTAATTTCAAGATTCTCGAAGGTTTCAGACGATCAAAGTTAAGAGTCAATGGTTTGGTCTGTTGAATGGTCAATTATTGTTAAATGTAAAAATAGTCTAGCCTGGCGTGGATATGCTCTAGCCATATGCCTTTGTCTATTCATCAAGTAGCTGGCTTCAAAGCTTGGCTGATTTTTTCTCAGTTGAAAGAAGAAAGCAATGGCCATGATGCTGAAATGTTAGCCTTGTTCGTAGTTGTATTTTCTTCTTTGGAGAAATAAAATTTTCTTTTGACTTGGAAAATTAGCTTTCTTGTCCTTGTGGGTACTTTGTTATATAGGAAGCAGTTTATCAAATGTTGGTTCGGTGATTATATATGTAATATTTTCCAAGTAGGCATCAGGGTTGCTATAATTATCCAAGTTGCTGTTTCCCAGTCTGCATGACTAATTGATATGTGTATGACCATCTATATAGATCCTAGAAGCCAGAGCACAACTTCATGAATTACAACAACGAACCAAGGTGCAGATGGAACCTGAGATATCTAGAAACATCTCTACTAGTTCAAAAGGATCTTCTGATTCATCAAATGAGGAGCATCTCTCTGTGCCACCCAGAGATCAATCTGAACCACTCTTTCTTCAGAAACCCCCTGATAGTGCCGCCCCTTCCTTAATGGTGCCCGATGTTGAGACCGATAAGCATCCAATTAAGAATGTGGAAATTCAAGTTGTAGACAAGCCTGTCATTGAGGAAACACCCTTGCGAACCGGAGTTGAACATCCCCACTCTGGTCCTTCCAAAGTTTTTGATGACATTTACGTGGATGATGGAGATGATTGGTTGAAGGAGGAGACTCCTGAGATTGATGGTGTTAGTGTAACTAACATCCCTATTGGGAATGACGAGGACGTATCATTTAGTGATCTTGAGGATGACGACCAGGACGTGCCAATATATCATAAGAAGGTTGCATCAAGCTCTGACTCTTCCACTAAAGATTCCCGAGATTGGGTTCAGCTTAGCCGGAGTTCTGGTGATTCAGACAAGGATACAAACACCATAGAAACGAAGCATGTTGGATCCGGGCAGGTAGGCACCCACAAGGAATCAAGTGACTGGCTTAATGTCGATGACATTGATTCAATGTGACAACTCCGTGAAAATCTTCAATCTGCTTATTTTCATAGAATGTTATCTCCAATGTATATCTTGTGTTCTCTATATATGAAGCAAGCATTTGGGAACTATGTTATGATTTCTCTGTATATAGAAAAACTTGTAAACTCAAAATTCATTTACATGCAAATAATGAATGCCTTTGTTATAGTTACTATGATATCATTTTACTTTTGCAACTCGTTGTCTTTTTAACCAATTGGTACGGAGCTCATTTAAGACCCATGTAATTTTGTTATGAATTGTTCTGTTATTTGTTTGCATAAAAATCTACCAGTGCGTTATGTCTTACATATGGTCTGTATCTAGCCAGGAATTGGGAAGCATGCATCGATGGCGAGGTGATTTATAAATTTATGACCATTATCTTAATTCTGGAAGTAAAAGTTAGGACCATAGGTTGAAGGGATTGGAAATTTGAAATATTGAAACCATTGCTTATTTGACATTTTCTCTACCATTCAAATAAGAATGGCGTATTCTATCCACTGAAACTTTTGGTTCCCTACTAATTTTTATTGTCATCACCGATTGATCTTGTTATGCTTCCTGTACAATTCTATTTACAAGATGTATATCCAACATTTGGATGCCAACGTTCATGATCTTATAGAACCAAAGTTACTGGAAAGTCGTTCAAGTTGCGACCACAGCAAGTTGCCTAATGAGAATCTTGGCTTATCTTCTATTCTTGTTACTTCAATCCCCTGTTTTTCTCTTGCAGAGGAGGCTCGAGCAGTCCAATTTGGAGGCTCTTGAACTACACTAATTGATCCTCCAATCTCTTTGATCACCAACTCCACTGTCTGTCGATCCACATCATTCCCCGACGCATCCATGACATAAAAGGACCCAACAACTCTCTCACCATTGGTTTCGATATTGATTGCCGAGATCGACAGGCCGTTCTCGCGGAAGATCCGTGTGAGGTCTGATAACAATCCCATTCGATTTTGAGCTCGGAGTTCCAGCCTCACTCCCTGCAAAATTGTTCAGGTACGAAGCTAGTTTTAACATATTGATATGGAAGTTTTTGATAGACAGTAATATGAACTTTGCAGGACATACATGTGAAGCTCTTCTTTCTATGGCTGCAACAAGGGCCTGTGAAAGCCTGTTTCTTTCAAACTCTGTGTCTAAGATGCAGCCACCTATATGCCGAATGAAATACTCCTGCAATTTTGAACACAAAATACAAGGCTTGTTAGCCCCACCATACATACAACTTGATAATTTTGGACCAAAACAAAAGGCCAATTGGTACCTGATAAGCTACAGTGCCATTCGAACCTACTGCAGCATGAAACACTATATATTGCAAGTCGGTAAGGGCGCAAACCGTATCGAACAGCAGCTTCGAACGGTCCCTACTCTTGACATTGATAATTGAATATCCTTTCTCCTTGCAACTTTCTATCCTTACATGCGTGCGAGTACAACTCTTTTTACATATTTTACTATCGTCTCGACACCGACATTGTTCATAATCGCCGTTGGCATACATCAGCTGGTGGAGCCGTCGCTCGTTGTGGGTCCGTCCAGCTGATGGAGCTGTCAACCTCACGCTGCTTGTTTCGCCTAGTCCATTATGGGCGCCTACCACGTTCTCAAGTTGCTCCTGCACATGGGCCAGCCGTTTTACGTCCTTTATGGCTCCACCATTCCAACCTTCATCGATGTAGATAATGGAGGCTGCGCTTTTATGGTGAGTCCATGCCACGGCCGCCGTGATATTGCAGCCCAAATCAACTAGCACGGCAAATATCTCCGACAAAAGACCTGGCCGATCGGTTCCAATGATCTCCGCCGCCGCGTGCTCCGATGACATGTGACGAGGCAACATTTCCCTCCCCATGCACGTTCTCACTGTTCTTGATGACCCTTCTCTCCTATTTGCACACAATGCCTACAATTGAACATAATTATCATTCCCTTAAATAATCATTTTCCCTTGATTATAATTCATCAGAAAAACGTTAGTTAATTAGGGACCTGTTGGATGTAATGTATGAGACTTTCATCAGTGAGTTTATTGCCCAGCTGATCTGTCACATGGAAAACTGCAGGCACCATACAAATCAGCTTCCATTATAATAAACACAAAATCAGTGGCATAAAAGTGTATCAGTGGGTGGGCACAGACCGTCCATAAACCATCCACCGTCAGAAGAAATGTAAGATTTGGAAATTACGAGGTCGAGATCCGTCAAAACCTGGACCATCTCAAGTAGAATTCCATGTTTGTTTGCACTGTCAACCTGTCAAGGAGATCGAAATTCTCACCAAAACAAACTTTAAGATCAAATTTTTTTATAATTAATACGACATATGATGTGATGACAGAACATTAGGAAAGGCCAAAAACTTTTGGTTCATTGGATAAGGAAACTAAAAGGCAACAAAAGAAATGAAAGTAAAGTAGATTGCTTTTCTGGGAAATCCCGTGTTCAAAGCATCTAACCATCGCTATTTTTTGATCCCATCAATTGGCTCTTTCGTCGGTGAGTAGGACAACTCATTTAAACCCTCCTCTGTTTTGTTTGTTCCAGTTCGAATGGAATTATTTCGAGCCTTCTTTAACATGATTGTTCGGGATTGTTCGGAGTCTCATTCTCGTACTTGCAGAATGATCATAAATTTATAAGGAAGGAATATATCAATGAGGTCTTTTGAGAATCCTAAATCAAAGTCTGAACAATATTATACCATTGTGAAGAATCGTGATTCGTATTTGTAACCATGGCGAGAATGGCGAGAATGGCTTCGAGGAAAGGAACCCATATTAAGTTTTCAAATCCTTAAGTTGATAAAATAATAAAAGGATGAATAATAGGAAGAACAAAAGCACAAAATTTGAAGAGAGAGAGCGAACCTTGACAAGCGTGCAATCCTTGAAGGTATCATTGTCGATGCAAACTCTGGAAAATGGCAATAATAATCCGAATCCCAAGAGGAATTAAACCAAAAATCTGTGGTTTAGAATAAAAAAAGCTCAAAACTTTATGCATTATTCACAAAAAGAACAAACCTGGGTGGGTAAATTCGTTCAATAAGTAATTCCAACTGGGAATCCACGTAACAAGGCTGATACACAGTTTCCATCATATCTCCTCTGTTTTTCGATCCTCTTCAACAACAGGATTTGCACTCTCCAAATCTCCCAAACATGATCATGACAAACAATTGGAAAGAAATGGATACGACCCACAAGGAAGAACAGTAATAATGGGAGCAGGGTTACGAATCTGATGTACAGGAAGAACAGAAAACTTATAATGGTGGCGGTGAAACCAATTCAAAAGAAAGAGAGAGAAAAGGAAGAAGAAGAAGAAGAATAAGAGAATCGGGGTGAGAGAGTATAGGCTTTCTTTTGGTTACTATGATTAGAAAACAGCAAAAGAAGTTTGGCGGCAACAAAAACAGATGCACAAACCTTAACCCACTTGGACTTGGTCGTCGTTTTTTAGGTTAATAAAACAATTGAAAACGTGAATTTATAACTTCATTGCCGCTTTCCCACATTCCCCATCCAATTGCGGCGCCTGCCCATACGTTTACGTCACCACGTGTTCATCACACCAAAATAAATTCTCGAGTGGGCTTGGGCGTTGTGGATGAGCCCAATGGGCTTGGGCTTATGTTGGAATGATTCAATTTTTTCGAGGCTTTAGGCCCAATTCGTTTTTGGGCTTATCAGAGTTTGTGTCTTAACCATCACATGTTCCAATTTGACCCTTTCCAACGGCTCAGTCAAGACGCTAATTAGAACCATCCCATCAAGTGTTGTCGGGCCAAGAGAACTGAGCCATGGAAGCAGGCCCAGCAACGTGGTCGGACGAAGCTGCAAAGTCTGAGCTTAATTCCAGAGCGTGTTAAGATCACAACGCCCTACTGTCAAAAAAGTAAAACTGTAACACGCTGCCTGGAGACAGTGAATGAGGAAGTGATTGAAAATCTTTGTCATTGCTGAAAGTTTGTCTTTCGCTGTGCTTCCATGTTCTTGACAGCAGCTCATGGTTCTTCTTGCTGCCTTATTACTATTCTTTTTTCTCCCAGAAAATGGGAGAATGTCATTTTTTCTTTTTCTTTTTTAAGAATTTCCACGATAATCTTTGTATGGAGATGGTAATAGAAATGTATCACTAATATACAATTTTTTATATTTATTAGCGTTACGCGTGTATCAATAATAAACATTTATTATTGATAGACGACGTAAAACTGGTCTCTTTCTAACCTTCCAACACCAGTGTTTAGGCCTAAAACTTTTGAAGAAGCCAAAACAAAAGAAGTAGTTGCTACAAAATAAAGATCAGTCTCAACTAAAATCGAATATGAAGACGTATACACAAACACTAGGAATTTGATTCATAATCGAAAGAAGGAGATGTATAAGCTCCTGAATCACCTAAAGCAGGCATCTTCATCCGATGATGCCACTTGTTGTCGTTGATGGCCGTTGTAGCAGTATCAATGTCAGTCACATGCTTTAAGGTGGAACAAAACAGATTCGTTCGAGATTCTATGAGTCGACAAGAGAAGCAGGACTCAGAACATTTTTTTTTAGACAAAAGGGTTTAATTTTTGTAAAATTCTTTAAGCTTTTAATAAAAATATTAATCAACTGAAGTTGATTCAAACTCAAAAGTAGTCAAAGTAGTTGTTAATTACAACAGAATCATTAAAACTCTCATGTAGCCATGTCCCAAAACATAGACAGGAGAAAACAAAATTTAATCAACATTCTCCAAACATTTAACAAGGACAAACTTAGGAAACAGAGTTGACTTTGTCTATGAAATGCGGAGACACCTTTTTGTTGCACTTAGGATAGTGGGTTGGTTAGGTATGAGTGCAATTACTTAGCTTAATACTTCACATTTCCTCACTTTACAATATTTAAAGTTTAGTTGGATTAATTGCTTCCCCCATTTTCCTTTTCCATAAGGTATACACCCACTTCCTTTCAATTTGTTAGTCGGGTTATGTTAGGATTGACGATTTGTTTCTTGACATGCACGGTCACATATTGTAACAACACTACGTATCGTCGTCAGCCTCACGGCTTTAAAACGTATCTACTAGAGAGAGATTTCCACATTCTTATAAGGAATGCTTCGTTTTTCTCTCCATCCGATGTGTGATCTTACAAACCACCCC